CCAGTTAGAGCCAATCAGATTTCTACAAAATAATGTGTAGTCATCTGATTGGTCCCAAGTTGGCAAACAAGTCAAATGGTAAAAAACAAGGATTTATATATAAAGGTTAAACCAGGTTAAACTATTGTAAAGTGTAAAATGGTTTGCTTATATCATTTTATGTGCATAAAAACCTACAATAAATAATTCATTTTAATTTACAGCAAATTATACCATGAAACATTTTACAAACAAATAAAACAACAGATTAAAAAGTATAATATTTATTATAGTACCAGATTTAAGAACACATAACAAATATCGTTGGAATACAAGAGAAAGTGACGTCCATTAGAAACAATGTTTTATTTACGTGTATTTTTTACATATGGACTTGAACAATTGTGTAATATCACATTGTTGAGTTTATGTACAAAAATATGGAGTTGATCAATTTTTTTGTAAAATATATGGCGTTGTAAATATTACATTGTTAAAAAATAAAATTCACGAACATTTGGACTTGGTTAGGTTACCTCACCTCACTTTCTCGGATTATTAAATAAAATTGTTAGATAAATCAAAGACCTTTAACTTAAACCTTACCTTTAATAAAGATCTTAAAAATCAAACACAAAACAAAGTTCAAAAAAATTCAAAAATACAAAATCATGATTTTAAAATGAAGATTGCAAAAAACACAGCCAAACAACCAGAAAACAGCGAAACGCACATCTCCGTTCAATTGCAAAACACAACTGAAGAGGAAGGAGGAAGCCGGAAACGAAAAACTGATTTGACATACAGAACAATGACAGAACATAATTGATAGGCCTATTTAGGCAACTATAAAAAAAATTTTGTACGCAATTGTTAGGCAACTAGAAAAATTAAAATAAAAATACGCCATCTAGCGCCCCAGGAAATTACTACCCAAAAACAGATCGTTCAAGGTCGTATATCTCAGTTGACTGGCCCTGACGACACTACGTCCGATATAAAAACTAGGAAACACTGACCAACCACCCCACCTCACGATCACGTGAAAACGAAGAAGCACGAAGCGGCACGAGCGGGTTGGTTCTAAGAATTTTTAATTCTTTATTGAGCTGAATTTACACAACATTGTGTGATCTCCCAATACTTTGCACTTATTTGTGTGAAGTAAAAAAGTTCTGCTCATTTTTTAGTAATTTGTTATCAAGACTTAGTTAATGAAAACACTGTATGATTAAAATCAACACAAAATTGAGCAATTATTATAAACATACTCAAAACATGTTTACACCAATTGATTTTTAACCGTGTACCTTCCATTTCCATTCAATATCCATTCCATATTCGTTCCGTATATACGTAAGCTTCCGTTCCGTATCAGTTCGATACTTTTATTTATTTACATGTTATAATATTTTATCTAAATGGAAGGGAGCTGATATAGAAGCTATAGTGAAAATCAACATCTATTGTATAATTGATATTATTACAAAACTTTTATTTTAAAAATTTGTACCTTTTGAAAAAGGCAATAGATTTAATTGCCTTAATAATGTGGTTAGCAATTTAGGGTTAGCGTAACCAAGACTTTAAAAACTTATATTAGTTCAGTAAGAAATCAAATTATTATTTTGATTAATTTGATAATAAACCAAACCAGAATAACTCAAAAGTTTTAATTTTTATTTGAAAACCAGGTAGCGGGTTTCTTAATTGGCCCCATTTAAGTTCTTGAGAATCGGCGAGTCAGTTAACTTTAACTTTCCAGGAAGTGAAATTGCGGAAAAATCTTAAAGACAAAATTCCCTAGGGCGTAGGGCAGTATAGAGCGCAATGGGGAGATTAGATGGCGCCATAAAAACTTGGTGAACGCGGTAGTTTCGAAACAAATTTACACGAAATCAAGCGCTAAAACTAAGCGCCCTCTGTAATTAGAAGTATAATAAAACGTCAAACGATCCATTTAAGCGAGTACAATCACGTGTTGGGAATAATTATTAGTTTAATTTTCGCAGCTACTTTGGTATAAGTTGTCTCGAGAAAATTAACTTTTTTTTGGTATAGATTTTATGAATCTTTACCATACCGAGGGTGCCATTTTGTTGTTTTTTAATAACCGTAACTCTTTTACAGTGAGTTTTAAAAGGACACTCCTCAATAAACAACTCAGTAGATTAAAACTAAAAAACCACGGCGAATGCAGATTCTGTGGGGAAAATGAAGAAACAACTCATCACTGAGTTGACTGAGTGTACCGAGACGACAACCAGTCGTACAGGGTCTTTCCTGGCGAACGTGCAACGCGTGCACGCACGTATGCGCAACATTTTGGGGGCGCACAATCGAAGGGTCAATCAGTACTTTGTCACAAAAAATACGTTTATTGTTAATATTATTATTATTAAGATACGCTTTCTTGCCAATAAACAAATACTCAAACATACATCATAGGATAAAGTTTGCTTACCGTCTTTTTTGCGTTGGCCGCACCGAATAAACAAGTCTAGGGCAATCTGTCGGCAACACATTGTTTTCATCTATTTATTTTTTATTTTATTCATTTTATGGAAAGTACTGTTCATTAAAATGTTGTATCCTATGTTATAGGGCCTTGTTTTTCTCTACAATTTTCTGTCTCACAATGTACCGTTTGTGTCGGGGAAGGGATCATAGTTTCATAGTTGTCGATTTTCGAAAGAAATCAGTTCATGTGTATTATTTCGCATATTTTTCATTTTATTGCTTTTATGGAAAGCACTGTTCATTAAAATGTTGTATCCTATGTTATAGGGCCTTGCTTCTCTCTATAATTTCCTGTCTCACAATGTACCGTTTGTGTCGGGGAAGGGATCATAGTTACATAGTGGTCGATTTTCGAAAGAAATCAGTACATGTATATTATTTCCGATTTTTAGTTTATTGTGTTTATGCATTTCGTATAAAATGGGTCAGTTTTTTTCTTTAGGGTACTATTTTTGTTACTAAATATTTTTGTGGTTTTGTTTGTTTTATTTATTTAATAAATGTTTTTATACTTTAATTAGAATAGTTTTTTTTTACATTTCCAAATGAATATTGCTCGTTTGTTGCAGAATCTAAATTCTTTAAATTTTTGAGATTAAGATTAAAATATATAATTGATTTAAATATGAATAGGGCGCACCAAAGAATGCTGCACGTAGGCGCCAGATATCCCAGGAACGGGCCTGCAGTCGTACCATATAGTTTGGTACGATTGATGTCAGATTTACTGGCTTTCGTCAAAGCCTTGAGACTGTAGTGTTCTACCTTTGTAGAAATTATTTTGTTTAAGAACTCAATTTTTCAAATAATTTAAAAACGGATTGGCGAAACAATTTCAAACTTGATAGGTAGCCTCATGTTATTTCCTATATGAGGGGTTCAGAAGTGAACTGGATCAAGTCCTAGAAGATAATAATGGTGAAAATGAGAGTTAAAGTTTTTTAATGTTACTTAATTAAAATAAAACAAGCTGGAGAGGAAAACTTGACACAATGCTTTATTATATTTTAAATTGCATATAATTGCAAACTAAAGTAACACAAAAAACAACTGTGGTCATTTTTAAGAATGCTTGTTTATACTTTTTTAGACTTGAACCATTTTATCTTTGAAAATATTTGAAATTTTAGATATAAGTTAGTTCATCGGTACACTCCGAACCAATGGGCACCTACCCCAGTATCCTTCAGGCAGAAATTTACGCTATCGAAAGATGCGTACAATTTATCTTAGATAGGAACTATCGAAAACAGGAAATTGCCATCCTATCCGATAGTCAAGCAGCACTTAACGCGATCAACTCAGTAACCATCAATTCGAAGTTGGTCAAAGAATGCCTAGAGAAGCTCAACAAATTAGGCAAAGAAAATAAAGTCCTCCTACTCTAGGTGCCTGCTCACCATGGGATAGAAGGCAATGAAAAAGCAAATGATCTAGCTACAAAAAGGAGCAACTGGACCAACCAAACACTCCACTAACTGGACCAGAACCGTTCTGTTTTCGAAACGGGAACCAACTGAAAGAGGAACTGAAGAATCTGGAAGACTCCATCCGTAACTTAGAATGGGTATCCTCCAACGGTCTAAGACACTCGAAAAAGTTCCTCAGAACTTACGACCGAGAAAAATCAAAGGTTTTCCTTGGTTTAAGTAAAAACAATCTTCGGATTGTCACGGGGTTTCTAACAGGACACTGTCTCCTCAACGAACACCTCAGTAGGCTGAAGCTGAGAAACAACGGCGAATGCAGATTCTGTGGGGAAAATGGGGAAACACCAGAACACCTTATCACTGAGTGCGCCGAGACGACGACCATTCGTGCCATGAACTTTGGTACGTCTGATGTCGAGGATGGAGAGCTGGCCTCTGCGGAGCCGTCTCAGATACTGGTTTTTGTTAAAGCCCTGAGACTGTATGATGAGTTATAACTCGTTATAACTCAAGAAAGGGGAACACACAATAGATCTATAAGGTCGCGGTGATTAACTCCCCTCCTAAACATTCTACATTCTACATAATTCGGTATATTTACTTTTCTAAACTATAACTATTTTTTTGACGTTACCAAAAAATATTCATTTTAAATCACATAGCAGATATACTTGTATTCATTTAAAACTTCCCAATATGGCGGACTTCAGTATGGGAGGCTTAAAAAACGAAAATCTCTAGACTGGAATCGACTGTAGTTCAAATCGTTCAAATTAATAATCTGTGGTAAAGCTAATTGAAATCTGACACTTGGCTGACTGACGTTTACGGTTCCTTTTTCTAAATATTTACATTATTTTTGGAGTTTTTATTTACAAATTCTACTTGGTTTTGTTCTTTTATTTAACCTGCAGCCTGCAGTACTAATTATATAGTTATAAATAATCTTTTCACCGATCGAGAAATGAGGAATAGGCTGGAAGATATTCAAAATGTGTAAAACGCTTAAAAACGTATTAGAAAGCATTGACTCGTCCACAAATTCGTGAAAATAAATTAGTCCAGATGTTTGTAAAAAGGTCTCTAATTATTTGGAGAAGTTTCCTCGTATCAGTAATTTTCAGGTTTGTAATATGTATATGATAATAAATAGATTAAAACTTATATTTCAGGAAACAGCGCGGGCATTACAGATTGTTGTAAATCAGTTTTAAAATATAAACAGGTTTAAAAGTTGAGTTAGTAGAGAAGATCTACTAATAACGTAATAAAGGTAAATAATGTTGGTAATGGGACCAAAGATCAAATAACACTTGAAATAGATAATATGTATATTGCATTGTTTTTATATTTCTTGAAATATATATATTTTTTACTTTACAGGATACACAAAGAATAATAAAAACTACAGTTACTCACTAAAAGTACTTAAGGTGTAAGTACTTAAGGTTTGTAATAGATGTAGTTAGAATATCAAACACCAAACCAAACCAAAAATTATGTTTTATTTTACTGGTATTCCTCACATTTGAAAGGAAAGTCATTTCATAAATAAGCAGAAGGACATCGTATAGTACACTCTATATTAATAATTCTTTTTTATCCTATATTTGTTACTTGACGCATCATTTACTAGGTATAAAATTTAGTACTGATTCCAAACCTTATAGTTGTGGTTGTGCTAAACAAACATTTCTGGCTTTCCTGACAGGAGTGTGACACAAATTTAATAAAGGTATAATGTGGATAATGTTCTGATTATTACAGTTTGCATGGATGACTGTTTTTGTATGTTGTTATTTTTAATAAAGTATATTTAATGAGTTTTTGAGTATTTCTTTTTCCCTCAGAGCATTGTGTTCTAATCTTTATATATAAATTTTCATAAATTAGGTATATCTACAAAATTTATTACCTTATAACTGTTTGCTAAAGACTTTGTAGTTGATACAGTTTAACAGTATATAAAAGAACTATTTAAATAAGATGTTTGAAAATATATAGGTAGCTGTTTTTGCACACATCAATTCAATTTGTGATTAACTGTACTGAAATAAAACAAATTAAGAGAAATGGGGTGATCTATCAACTATAATATGAAACGCCATATCATCCTATTTCCAAGTCTTCTATTAATTTCACTTATTAAACAACTATAATAATTCAATAATCTTGATAATTCTAGGAACTCTCAGATATCGTCAAAACATGAAAACAAAAATTCACTTCCTATACTTCTTACGTTATAAACTACTATAACGTTGCCCCTTTAACTACTTATAGTTAAAGGGGCAACTAAAATATAAGAAACGGGAGTTAATATTCTCACTGAGAAAGTTTATAAAATACCTTTAAGTAAAATCTCTTCGGATCTGCGGTAAAATACCTTTATTCTTATTAAATAATTTCAATAATCTATGTTTTTATTTATGATTTATGACAACCACCTAGTAATCTAACTTTAATGTCAACTTGACAATCCTGAAAAATGTTATTGTTAACCAAAGAGTAAATCAATTTCTGAATTCGCTAACGCCAACTTATTTTTCATTAAAAAAAAATTACCAATTTTCGTAACTAGGTCGGCCATATTGAGGAACTTTTAAAAGAATTGTACTATATCTAGGTTAAAAATGTTGCGTTTGTCAAACCGTACCTTTCAAACTTGACGTTGAAAACATGAAATTATTTTAAATTATTTATTTCTATCGATCGAACTATGAATGCGATTAACGGCAAACGCAAACGAGATGCGTCGGCGAATTTTTCCGAAAGCGATTCGGAAGAAGGGGAAAATTTGGAAAACAAGAAACTAGCTCGACTTGTAGCTGAAGTATCGAACTATAAAGGAGGTAAACAAAATATTTCATTAACTAATAACTCCGCTATCAAGTAAATTCTATCTATCTATTTAGCTTTTTTCAGTTCATCATTGAATTCCTTTATATATCTGCCAGCCGTACATGCAGCATAATATGTGTTTCCATTGATATTTGTGCTTTTGTAACCTTATCCATGTTTGGTGTAATTTGGTTACTGTAAATTGTGAATATTGTAGATATTTTAAAAAATTGATTAATTTAGTTCTATTTAGAATTATTTTAAGGTGTTTAAAACAAAGTTATGTTAAAGTAGAAAATGAAAGTATCTCAAAAAAAAATTAAAAATAAGAAAAATCTTCCGTTGAAAATATTTTTTACACATTTTGGTAGAAAAAATCACTATACAGGGTGGTCCGAACCAGTGCCGGCGGAAGGCAAATATTGAGACCGGGCGAGTACCCTATCTGGCGCCCCCGCCCCCATAGTTATTATAATTCTTTTCACTTAAAGATACTTCAAAATTCTTCTCTTCTTTCAATCTTAGTTTGCGGTTGTTGTTCTTTGTTTACCGGGTGCGTCTCGAAATTGACTCACCCCTATAACTTTTTTATTTTTTTACATAAAAAACGAGATTTGGTATGTTAGTATATGACATAAATTAGGATTGATTGACTGTTCAATTGTTTTTGGCCACTTCCTGTTTCACCGGAAATGACTAAAAATTTTGATTTTTAAATGGCACCTCGGTATATTTCCACTTCTTCCATTCGATAGAAAATGACACTCTGAGTAGGATGACATATCTTATGTCAACTTTTGAAATTTTCGTTCAAAAAACATTATATTTTAAATTTCAATCTAGAGTGCCATGGCTCTGTTAAAAACACTACGAAAAATAGATTTGATCGTCGAGTGTTTTTCGTGTCTTGTCCTGGCCGATCGAAAAGATGCAAAAATCGTATTTTTAATCGAAAATATCAAAAGATGACAGATGTCATAAAGTAGAAATATACCGAGGGTGCAATTTAAAAATCAAAACTTAGTAGTAATTTTAGGTGAAACAGGAAGTGACAAAAAACAATTGAATACGTCAATTAATCCTAATTTATGTCGCATAGCTACTAACATACCAAATTTCGTTTTTTTTCTGAAAAAATAAACAATTTATAGGGGGTGAGCCACTTGAGACGCACTCGGTATATAGAATTATGAGAAATAGAATTCCAACCTCGGCAGTCTTGCAGTAAAAAAAAGGATCTCTCAGTCGAAATGAATATGACTTTAACCCGAAAAGATTGGCTCTTTTCAATAGGGCCAAGAACGACGTTTCTTTGCCCAAAGCCGTCGTTCGTCATCGTCTTTGCGTGTCGTTATTATTTTTCATCAAAATAGTATTTAGCTATTGGAAAAATGGTCATGATTCTTAAATGAAGTACTTCCTAGCGTATGTTTCTTAATATCTTAAAACAAAGTAACTTGCACTTGGTCGAATGAAAATAGATTCAAGAGAAATTTTCGAATTTTTCAAGAGAACCAGTTTTCTTGAGTTAAGAGAGTTTTTCTTCAGGCAAAATATTTTCTTTTACGCTAAAATAAATTCTCTTGCCACTAAATTTTTTTTTCAAGAACGATGACGACTTTAGTTCAAGTCTATCTTTTTTATCAGTGTGTGTGCTGTATAAGGGATCTTTGAAAATATTAGTATTTAGTTTCAAGCAGTTGCATTATTTTTCTATAAGAAATTAAGATTTTTTTTTCTTTTTCGCAATCAATTATTTCGTGCAGAATCAGTTTATGATCAAATACAGTTTTGTCGGCTTCAAAATGAGGTTCAACCAATGTTTGAGATGCATTCCTTTGTCTTGCTCTAATGAGAAAATTTTACGATTCTGCTACCATTTTCCGTGTATTATTACACATTCAATTGGGAAAATCAAAATGACCAAAAGATTGATAGACCGAATAGTCGAATAAAAACGGCGTCAGCGATAGCAATGAAATGACAATCGATGACACTTCCCATATAAATTTACATATAAAATGACAGCGATCTTCATTTCATAGCCATCGCTGACGCTGTTTTTATTCGATCATACGGTATTTTCCCACTACTCTTAATAAATTAATTTAACTAATGAGGCAAACTTATAAGCTTTTTTTGCATAATAAGGATATCGAGATCCTCTTCAGCTTCTTGCGAATGAATATTTACCTCATATAATATTAGGGTACATCAGACCGTATCATAACAAATAAAAGGGTAATAGAAAAAGTGCGATTTTGAGTAGTCAAACTGTCAATTTTGCTGACTCGTGACCCAAAACAGTTTGTTAAGAGAAAATTTATAAAAACAAGAATTATAAAAAGTAAGGTTATTTACAAAAAGTTGATAGCTTTCGAATTATAAATAAAATACCAAGAACAAATCAAATTTATATTTTTTTATTTTATTTTGTTTAAGATTTTTCCACGAAAATGAATTCGCAAATTTCAGTTTCGAATAGAGCACCCAAAAAACCTATAGAATGGAAGAAATTAAAACTATCCTAAAGCTTTCGTGCAAAAGATTTTTGAGCATAATTTCAGTAAACTATAATAGGATACGTCTAGGATATAGTAGTGTTTATAATGTTTAGTCAGATATTCTTCCCTATGTGGTGTGGTAATTGGTAATATTTTAATGTAGAAATTGATAGTACCGATTAATTATTGATCTGGTCATTTGTTAGATTAGATTAGATTCTTAGAAGTGGCTTTAGGCCTGATCCACTGCGACCTTCTCAGATCTATTGTGGTACTCTTCTGATCCTTAGATTACATTCTCCAGTCGTATCCTTTTCACAAAGTTTAGGAACTTGGAGACTGAACCCTCCATGTAGCTCCTTGGCAATGGCCTATCATTGCGTATTACCGGGAACCGCACATTTGCCAGGCTGTCACACCGACATAAAATGTGTTCTGACGTTTCTTCCTCAGATTGGCAGAACCTACACATAGCTTCGTCTGTCAATCCCATCAGCTTTAGATGCCTATTTAGCTTACAATGCCCTGTTAGTAGACCTACTACAGCTTTGACTGTCTTTCTGTCCTTGCTTATCAAGTCTACCGTGAATTTTGGCGAATGTTCTACAATGAACCTTTTCGCCTGTCTCTGGCCCTGGTGAGTTTCTCCACCATTCTAGAGATTTGTTGGCCACCCATCGTTCCGTGGCCATTCTCGTGACCGCCTTTGCAACGCCGCAGAAGGGCTCTGGGCCTATTAATGGTATTGATGAGCCTTGCTTGGCCCTTTCACCTGCCTTTTCGTTATCCTTGTGACCCTCGTGCCCTGGCACCCAGGCCAACGTTACAGTGCTACGTTCGCCCAAAGTATTCAGAGCACGCACACAGTCCCACACTAGTCTAGAATTGACCTCCGCGGAGCTGAGTGCCTTTAGCGCCGCTTGGCTGTCTGTGAAGATGGCCACAGAACGATTTGTTCTTTGTTGCCTTATTATTTCCTCTGGTCATTTGTTACTCTTTGTTTAGATTACTGTTTTTAAATATTTTAGTTGCCGTCGTGGCGCCCCTCGTATACGCGCCCTGGTCCGAACTGTCTTCCGGATACTTCAGCAGTATATTCTGCAGATAAAAATAAGTAAAAAAGGATCTCTTAAATAAGTTATGCTTTGCTGAAACAAGGCTGAAACTTATCAACTTAGTTTTTCAATATTTAAAAAAATCTAGATAAAAAGATATTTATAAACTGAATTTTTCTCTACTAACTTGATAATTTTTTTTTTAATTTCAGAACCCGAACTTGAACAACCTACTACATCATCCCACACTGAAAACTCCTCTGATTCAGATACAGAAAACACCAACAAGTGCCCTGTATGTCTCAAAGCCCTACACAACCAAGTCTTGGCTGTGCCAGACACGTGCAGCCACCACATATTCTGCCTGTCCTGCCTGGAAGAATGGACCAAAATCAAAACGACCTGCCCAGTGGACAGGAAAGAGTACTTCTCGATACTGGTACTGAATTCGGAAGGGGTCGTTTCGAACCAGATCCCCATTAAAGCGCCCCGCAATCAGGGTTGGACGCTGTTCAATCCGTTCACCGTGACGAACCAACCGTCGTACTGCGAGGTGTGCGGGTCGTACCACGACGAAGAGAGGATGCTGTTGTGCGGAGGGTGCGAGATGAGCTTTCACGTGTACTGTTTGAATCCCCCGTTGGATCATATGCCTGTCGGGATGTGGTTGTGCAGTGCTTGTTGGAACTACTATAACTACTGATATTTGATTATCTTTATATGTAATTATTGTATGTATTACATATCTTTTACATGAATAATACTGTCTGTCACAGTTATTATACGGTGTTTATGAATATTATTTAACAGTTTTCGAGATAAAAAATAGGACTTAAATATGAGTTGGGTTAAATTCGGTATATTGAAAGCTGAAATTTGGTTATGATGGTTATATTATTTTAATTATTAATTTGGTTACATATGTTAAGGAAAAGTCGACATATTATTATAGTCTAAGAGATAGCAACGTTTTTGAGAAAGTATTTTAAGACGTCTGGCTCTTTTATATAACTTTTACTATGCTCTCTGGAACAGCACGCGGTCCGTCTGGCTCCCGATACCCGTTGCGTTCACTACTACTGCGCATCGGAAGAAGATCTTATATATTTTTTAATTTAGTCCCATAAATTCTAGTATTGAATATAACTCGAACATGTCTCCATAGCGCAGTGCGTAGAGTTTCCGACTACGAACAGAGGATTCAGAGTTCGAATCCTGGTCAGGGCAAATACTTTTTTATTTTATTTTCGTTTATATTTTGATAGTAAAGTATTAAATAATTCTGGTGATTCAAAAAAAAACAAATATTTAATACTTTACTATCAGAATATAAACGAAAATAAAATAAAAAAGTCTTTGCCTTGACCCGGATTCGAACTCTGAATCCTCGGTTCGTGGTCGGAAACTCTACGCACTACGCTATGGAGACATGTTTGATTTATGTTCAATACTAGAATTTAAATGACTAATAAAATATAGGATCTTATTTGATTGCGCAGTAGGGAACGCAACGTTTACCGGCAGTCAGACAGGCCGCATGCTGTTCTAGAGAGCATAGTAAAAGATATATCAAAGAGCCAGACGTCTTAAAATCCTTGTTTTTCCGACGTTGCTAGCTCTCGTACTATTATTGGATCTGTCTAAAGCGGCCCATACAGTATCAAACAATTTGCGCAACAAAGTGATGCGCAACGTTCCGTTGCACAACTGATACAGCGGTCCATACGTTATCAAACAAGTTGCGCAACAAAGCGATGCGCAAAGTTCCGATGCACAACTGCATTACCCATGCACTTAATAAAATTTTCATCAAACTTTTTATTAAAAGTTGTGCATTGTTTGAGAAACAATCATTTCCTCAATTGCCATTGCGTCAATTATTATCGTATATACCCTACCCATACAGCACATCAAATCACATTTACGATATGTTTACGATCAATCCTAATTTATGTCTTATATTAAAATACCAAATCTCGTTTTTTTTATCTGAAAAAATAAAAAGTTTTTAAACAACGAATTTAAACGTTTTTAACAACGAATTTAAATAGGTAACAATACCATGCAAAAAGTTTTAAAAAAATTCGTTCACAGTAAACGAATCCCGAGGTTTGTATCTCATAAGGGCTTAAAGCACTCCACTAATAGGGGTGAGCCACTTTTGAGACGCATCCGGTATGTTGCAAAAAATAACGTCAATAAGCTAATCAAAGTTCTGAAACATCTAAATTACTACAGCTATTATACATTTATACGGTCAATTTCCAGAGAAATTGAGCAAACAAAAGACACGAGGCAGTAAACATGCCATTTTTAGATTTCCAAAAACTAATACCAACTTTCAAACAACATCGAGCAGACTAGATAACGACTACTTCGTCGTCCAATAATTCACATTGACCGATGATCTGCTGCACGACGACAACTTTAGTTCGGCATTATTGAATTTCCTAACAAACGATCGCAGTAGTCGGCAAAGTTGCCGAAGGCGGCAAAAAATGCCCGGAGAGTGTGACAGGGCGACGGTGCAGCGTTAAGTTTCACATCACGCGCCCAACTATAGCAACGGAACGAAAATTAAGAATCATTATTCTTTGCAGCTTTGTCCGGGCTCTTAATATCTCTTCTTACTCTCCTTAAGCCGTTTGGGAGAGAGATATAAAAATGCAAGAAGTGTGACCGGGCTGCAGCTACTGCGACGCTATTCTTTCGTTCAAATTGTTTTTATATAATTTGGAGAGTTCAGACGAAAGACTGCAGTAACTCGGTTTTCGACCATGGTACAAAGAATACAAGGTATGATCGATAGCGGCTCCAATTTCGTTCGGTTCGCGCATACCACCTGTGACGTCACTAGGAAAATAATGAATAAATAAAAAATAAAGAAAGTTGACAGACAGGAGATCTGCATTTTTGGGGTTATGGTTAAGAATTGTTTATTTTTAAGACTTTTTAGTTCGTTTAATTTAATAATTACTAAAACCAGCAGTTCCAAAAATATATTTAAAATAAATAATTATCTATTAACATGGATTTGGACGATAATAGGTAAAAATACTAAATTTATTTCTATATTCGGTATAAAATTGTTTATTAGGTTTTTAGTTTGCGATGTTTATGGTAAATAATTTTCATTTTTATTGCCTCTGAATTCACATGAGGACAGAGATGAGGATATCTATGGAAAAGTAACCACAAGAGGAATTGTTACATCATTTAAAAAATGTTGGGAAGTTTATTGTTTCCCATCGAAAAGTAGAAAATGCCAATGCAGATGAACGTATTGTAATTGTGATAGAAGTAATTCCAAGGGTGAAGTTTATTATAATTAGTGGAAGTAATACCAAGGGTGAAGTTTATTATAATTAGTGACCTGTGCTTCTTTTTATATGTAGATGTTTCTGGTTTTGAGAATAAATCGGTTGAACGACACCCAAAATTTAAAGGAAGTATTTGCATACTCAGAATATGCCCATCAAGGGTTATATAGCTCAAATTTCCTTTAATGGTAGGCAATTATTCAATGCAAATTAACTTTTTAAGTGACTGAAATAATAAATAGTTTACAATATGGTATATCACTAAAAATATATTACTTTTAGGTACAATTAGGGCCCGATACATTTCAAAAAGTAGAATATTATTTTATATTAAATGAGGTATTGTACTAACAATCAATTTATATTAATAACGGAGATTAAAAAATAACAGAATAAATAGTTCTTTTTTTATACTATAAAAATAAACTATAGAATACAACAGTATTTAAAAAAAGAAATAAAAAGTGATGTTCCGACCGAGATTCGAACTCCGGTCTCTCGCTTCCTAGCCTGACTCCTTATGCACTGCTCCACAGTAACTTGCTTAGCGATAATTCAATGACGGTATATAAATAAAAAAAACAGGTTTATAACAATATCTTGACGATTTGAACTGGGGCGCGGAGCGTGCTGACCAATAGCGCCTGTTATCACCTGCGACGTAGCGACCAACCTGCGCAATATCATACCTTGTATTCTTTGTACCATGGTTTTCGACCATTCCAAAATATTATTCTAAAAAAGTTTTTTATTGATTTAAATCGCATTTTAATGACTTATAAGCAGGGTTGGCATGATTTAAATCAAATGATTTAAATCATGATTTAAATCAAGTGATTTTTGGTTTGGTTTTTGGTGATATTTGGTAAATTTTTTTATTAACTTTGGCCTTTTATACAAGAGTTATGTCAGATTTTAATATATTTTTTTAATGCACTTTTGCAGAATTTCTCATTAAACTGTTTAGCAGCAGATAACTAGTGATTTATTAATGGTATTTTCAGAAAAATGCATTCTTCATCAAAATTTTTGCTTGTTTAAAAATAATGAATCCCGTCTATACTTTTACTAGGTCCTAGAGCTTCATTCAGAACCTCGAAATCAGTGGAATAAATTAGTAGTTTCAATTAGCCGTAGACACTGAAAAAAGGATCTCTCAGTCGAAATGAATATGACTTTGACCCAAAAGATTGGCGCTTTTCAATAGGGCCAAGAACGACGTTTCTTTGTCCAAAGCATTAACTATCTTTTCATAAACTTTAAAAAATTACTTTAGAGAATAGAAGAATCTATCTGTCCAAAGTATTTCACTCTTGACCCAAAATGAATATGCAAAGGAGTTCTTACTACAAGAACAATAGTCTTTTTGATTCATGCAAAAATTCTTGATTGAAAAGGGACATTTCTTGATTAGAGAGACAATTTTCTTAAACCAATAGCGAATACTATTGACTCAACTAACATTTATTTTGATCTAAGAGAAGTCTATACATCATATACAGGCATATACAGGCATATTACGAGGTATATTATTTTCGGATAAATTTAGGTTTTCCTGGTCTGTAGTAAGTAAAGTTATATTATTTTCCGCGATAGTAGTTATTTCTGCTTCTTCACTCCTTGGTATTTTTTGGGGTGGTTCATCACTCTACAAATTAGAAAAAAATGTTACATCACGATTAATCAAAGTAAAGCAAATAAATTATTAAAATTATAAGCTTTGGTCACATTTTGAATTTTTTAATACGACGACTTGAAATTCTAAAATTTTTGTAATTATTTGCATAAAAAAATCGATACCTATATTATTATTCTATCTATAGTCACGCATGCATTATCTAAACAGGTGCATTAGATAAATGTCTCTTACCCTCAAATATAGCAAATAAATGCTCAAATTTCTATTTTTTCAGAAACTCCTTTAAACAATCCATATATCCTAAAATTTGTCCATAAAAAATGAGAAATGCATGTTAATAACGATCATTAATTTGTTATTCGATATGCGTTTACAAAAGCAAATTATGCAAAATTCCAAGTGGAAAATTCCAAGCAACAAAACCCGTGCGTACTATGATGTGCGACCTATGAAATGCGACGTACGACTGATCGGACTGCCGATTGATTGTATATACCGTCCTTTGTCATCGTCTTTGCGTGTTGTTACTATTTTTCATCAAAAGAGCTATTGGAAAAATGGTCATGTTTCTTGAATGAAGTACTTCCTAGCGTATTTTTCTTATTATCTTAAAACAAAGTAACTTGCACTTGGTTGAATGAAAATAGATTCAAGAGAAATTTTCGAATTTTTCAAGAGAACCAGTTTTCTTGAGTTAAGAGAGTTTTTTTGTCAGGCAAAATATTTTCTTTTACGCTAAAATAAATTCTCTTGCCACTAATTTTTTTTTCAAGAACGATGACGACTTTAGTTCAAATCTATCTTTTTTA